GGGGTGTGGTCGGTGGAAGGTGTAGTAAGAGGGGTGTGGTCGGTGGAAGGTGTAGTAAGAGGGGTGTGGTCGGTGGAAGGTGTAGTAAGAGGGGTGTGGTCGGTAGAAGATGTGGTGGTCGGAGAAGGTGGTCATGTGGAGGGTGCTGCTCTTGAGAGTAGCTTATACCAGATATACTTTTTAAAGATACCTTTGGCAATCTCCTCAGACGTGCAACTTCTCTTGGCGTTAGCTGATTGCTTTGGGAGGAATCATTTAACCCATTCTCATTGATACAATTGCATATTAAGAAGTCATTCATACTTCAGAAATTGCTCCTTGTTTGCCGATAGGTTGCATCATGCCGGCATTGTCTCAGGTTATCTCTGTTGTGTTTTTCTCTCAGGCAGGGTCGGGCAGCCATAGTGACTTCATTTTGCATGTTCAAATATATGGCTTTGTATGCCATAATACAGTTCATCACTGTCATGATCTTGTATTCAGTAAGTCTCAAGTCCATAGCTTTGGAGTAGTCGTCAACATTAGCTCCATGTTTTTTTCTGTTGAACTTTTTTGCACCTTATTGAATCTAAAACAGACCCTGTTTTGTTTATGTCTAGTTCCACTTTTTCCCTAATTTTTTCCCATAACAGCTTACTGGTGCCCTGTGAAATTTAGACATAGGTAGTGAAAGAGCAAACACAACTTTTTTTTAGGCCTAACCTGTTTCACTACACAAATATCTTCAGTACTGAGTGAATGATCGTTCATTTTGATCTGTGAAATTGGCAAGGTTTTTTAAGGCTGAAAGCTAGCTTGCATTATGAATGATAACCAGATATTATGGGTGCTTGGCTCCTAAAAATAACAGAATTTTCTGGACCATGCTTGGTTGGAGAATAACATGTTTACAAGCTAAATCCTTCAAAATTTCCCAGCGAGTACAATGGTTTGATCATCATCAGATAATTTTCAGAATAGTAAATAATGAATTATTCAGTATTAAATAAATGCTTCAAAATCATCAAGATGACTCTTGGGTTGTTTTGGGCTCAACTAATACTTTTTTCTGTTACTAACTCTTTATAGTCAGTCATTGGAGTAGAGCTGAGAATGTTACTGTTCATAACAACCTGCATCAAGCAGCAAATAACTCCACCTTCTTGTAATGTTTTTAGTGCCATTGAAGAAATACGTTTCTAACACTTGAAGTAAAATCAGACATTGTATCGTAGAACATATGCACTATCACCAATCAGCACCTCAGCAAATTAATGCATCACAATTTTTGCTCAGCAGAGTAAATTCCATCACAACATGTTACATGTGACACTGACAGCACGTCCATACATTTTGTGCATAATTCTACTTCAACATCTGGGTGATTTGTCGTCCGCCTCTGGGGTAATCCAGATCACCTGACCTGGGGTAATCCTGATCACCTGACCAGGGGTAATCCTGATCACCTGACTTGACTGAAGTCTTCTTCCTGTTGCTCATTCATCATTGGCAGATGTGATTGTCATTATGTTCTTGTCAGCAAAGAAGATTGTTTCCACAGTGATGGAGGCACAGAGTTTGATTTCCGTATTTTCTTGGTTTCAGGCCGAAATCTCACTGAATCCTGTAGTTTTGCCAGGCTTTTTTTGATTACAGCTGAGGAGTACCCGATAAACTGATTTTAAAAAAATCTGCAGTTAGAAAACTATGTATGTTTCTTGGTGGAACTGCAAGTAAAATTGCGCTTATGAGCTTTCTCTTCGAAGGAAGTTTTGTTTTGGATTTGATTCCATGAAGACAAATGCTGAATTCTTTTCCAGATGGAAACAAAGTTTGAAGGTATCTAACTTGCTTCTCTCTGCCAAAATAAGAGAATTAAAGATTTTTCATTTGTTGACCCTAAAAATTGATAAATTTGAATCTGTTGGCTTGATTTGCCCATTAGGAATGGGAGAGCTGCTCTGGTCACCTCTTTTGGTTTATTCAAATATCTTGCTGTCTACGCGATGATTATGTTTATCACCGTTTCTATCCTGTATAGTGTAAGTATCAGTTTGGTTGGCCTTCGTAAGCTGTCAACTCAGATCTGCTGCTTGTTCGGTTAACAGCTTTGTTGAATCATTAGACCAACTCCAATGCTTCATGTTACCTCATGAGCTACCTTTTATTTTTGAGAACATTTTTGCCAATGCTGCCGGATATCAGCAATTTGCTGAGGAAAAACTTGCCAGTGAGAAATAAGATTGTTGGAGTGGCAGTTTTCTGCAACCTACTTGTAGCTGTTTTGGACTACTAGACCATGTGAAGTGCATCTTTGGAACGGTGTGAACTTAAGTTCCCAGTTTGAGCTTGAAGGGAGATGTGATAAATTCTTCAGTGACGTTGCCCACATGTTACTACAGACTTGTGCACATTGTGATGAAAATCTGTGTCTTGCTTGTGTGAAATATAGGGTTATGTCAACAGTCATACAGGAAATCATTGCAGTCGTTAGGAAGCATTGTTAGACAAGCAACCAACCAGTTTTCTAATGCCACAAATCATTGCATCAGTGCAACAAGGTCGTATCTCGTGCACTAAAAAAAAAATGAGAGTTACAACCTTGTTGCACTGACACGACAAAATTTAAAGCTTTGAAGCTTTGCATGGTAGAAGTTAGACTGAGAGAAGGTTTGTAGGTACACCATGTGGACTTGATCCCTTCTATATTAAGAGTAATGGTTCTGAGAAGAATAGGTAAGGATGAACTTAATGTTTGGACCATTTGCTCTCACATAAAATGGGCACATGATGAGTACAACATGGCTTCTAACACAGACATAAAGTTTGCTTACATACATGTACATGTAAACCCTGACCCTTTCATTATGCAGGTCTTTCAAAATCATACTCATATATATAGCTTCATGCAGGATCACAGAGAGCAGAGTAGGCCCATAGCCTGTCGAGGGCCTAATGTACCATTGGCAGATTGATTGGTTTTGTGTACAGTGAAGGATTTTGACTGACTTAGGAAGGTTCTATTGGGTTCATTTTCAGTCTGAGCATGAAGTACAATTTCTCATAGTTACATTTATCACAGTCCCGGCATTAAAATATTTTTGAACAAATTTTGGAGCTTATTATTCACAAACAACTTTTTAAAAGCTACATTCTGTTAAAAAATTCTTCATTTCATTGCAGTCATGGCTTTGCTTCTTAACCATGCTGTGCCTTGAGCATGCTGTGCCTTGAGGGTGCTGTGCCTTGCGCATGCTGTGCCTTGAGGGTGCTGTGCCTTGAGCGTGCTGTGCCTTGAGGGTGCTGTGCCTTGAGGGTGCTGTGCCTTGAGGGTGCTGTGCCTTGAGCGTGCTGTGCCTTGAGCATGCTGTGCCTCAAGCATGCTGTACCTCGAGCATGCTGTGCCTTGAGCATGCTGTACATTAAGCATGCTGTGCCTTGAGCGTGCTGTGCCTTGAGGGTGCTGTGCCTTGAGCGTGCTGTGCCTTGAGCGTGCTGTGCCTCAAGCATGCTGTACCTCGAGCATGCTGTGCCTTGAGCATGCTGTACATTGAGCATGCTGTGCCTTGAGCATGCTGTGCCTTAAGGGTGCTGTGCCTTGAGCATGCTGTACATTGAGCATGCTGTGCCTTGAGCGTGCTGTGCCTTGAGCGTGCTGTGCCTTGAGCATGCTGTGCCTTAAGGGTGCTGTGCCTTGAACATTCTGTGCCTTGAACATTCTGTACCTCGAGCATCATGCTGTGCCTTGAGGGTGCTCTGCCTTGAGCATGCTGTACGTACATCATGCATAAAGGGGTCTTTGGAGTTCTGCTAAATGAATGCTAAAAATCTGCTAGGACAGGATGCACCAACTGCTTGAACTTCAAAATGCAGGAAGTCCTGGGTTCAAATCCAATGAATCTATCTCTTATTCATTGCAGCCCATAATGTGATTGAATACAGTAACATTGATATATGTATTGTTTGTATTTAAAGTGATATGTCTATTTTTCTTGATAGATTCCATCTACAATGACTGACTTGCAGTTCCATTACATTGATTTAGCACTCTGCACTGGAACTATCCTATTGGGTGAGACAATCAAATCGCCTCACCGTCTGGCAAATGACCTGTATCTGTTAATTGCTGATACTAATTCTACCTGTTTAGGTTCCTTTTATCACGTTCAAGCTTGAACTGTAACTATTTCATATTGATGATGCATCTCCCATGCATCACCAAACTCTCCTGTCTTTATGGCTTACAGTTTCAGGCCATGTAGGAACAACAGTCTTCTTGGAAAGATTTGACTGGAATTTCTCCCCCCCCCTCCAAAAAAGATCCTCCTTCCTCCAAGCTGCTGCCAAGAAAGATTTAAGACAGTAATCAAATTTTCACCTGCCAAAGTTTTGATGACCATACTATGCAAACTGTGAGCTGATCTTTGCTCCCTCATTAACCTGTTTCTTACTCTTTGGGGGATGTTGCCATAGTGAGCCGTGGTGATGCCTATGACAAGATCTCAGTCAAGCGACCACTAACCAAGCTCATGACGTCACCGGTCATCTTCTCTCTCATCTCTCAAATTATCATCATTGCCCTGATTCAGACTGCTACATTCTTGTTGCTCCAAGCCATGCCATGGTAAGATGGAGGAAATATCATCAGGTTATTTTCAGACGGAAGTGTGTTTGTCTCTCTTAAATGTATAATAAGTTTTATTAAAGTTCTTCGGTAATATTTTTTGAGACTCGACGTACAAAGCATAGAAAGAGTTAAGGGCAAACCTAGTTCCTTTGATGCTGGTAAAGGCTTTCGTAAGAGGGTCATAATGGTTTCATTATTGTTCCAGGTATGTGCCTCTGAAAATTGTCTCCGATGAAAGACATGTTGTCTGTTCAGAAACGACCTCCGTATTCCTTGTGTCGTGCTTCCAATACATCATAGTGGGCGTGGTCTACACCCCAAAGAGACCATTCCGTCAACCACTCTACAAGCTACGTAAGTATAGATATTCAAAGAGATGTAACCAGTGATTCACTCGAGGGACTACCGGGCTAGTGGTGTTAGTTGGTGTGCTCCATCACAAAAACCAATTATTAAGATTTGAAATGAAGTCAAACTCTTTTGGTATTCTTGATGTCTGATTTTTGTTTATTTTCTGTAGGTCTGTATTCAGCCTTTGTGATCGTTGAGTTTGTTGGTACCACATTGCTTCTGTATGTGCCAACAGAGCATACTCTGAAAGTCATGGAGGTGCGTAATGCATCAGAGAGTTGTGCCAGGGATTGAGGGCAGTATACTTATCCAATCAACGACCTTTGACATATCTCTGAATGAATTACATGTATCTAGCCTTTAGTACATTTATGGTCTCTCAGTTACATAAAATGTGCTTGCAAGCTAGCCTTTAACCACCTCTGTTTGCTTGATTTCTTTGACTGGTCTCTTATGATGTTGTAGATGGTTGTTCTGCCTGATTACGTCTTCAAGACCTGCATACTTGCTCTTGCTCTTCTCAACTTTGTCTTGGCTTGCATCATTGAGGTAAAAGTCACAAATTGTCCTTTTTAATGAAAGTTGTCAGGGTCAGTCTGTGTTACTGATAAGCTAGATTGTCAAGATGCATCTGGTCTTCTAGTCAGTCAAGTATGTAGCACACATAGCTGTGACAGTCCCATTATAGAATCTCCGTGTTGGCCTTTGTCCTTCCTATCCATTTTGTTAAGCAAGTTTTGTGTTTCAAAATGTAATTTCATGAATGACACTAATGTAGTCCCAAGTCCTCCAACTTTAATATCATTTTACAAACTTCCAAAAGGTACGGTACTGTGACCCTATCAAAGTGAATTTGTAGCTAGCAGATAAATTTGTGTATTTGTCCTAGCCACTTCAAGTTTTCGTGATGAGCTTTACCCAACGATATATAATTTGATTACCTTCAACTCTATCTCATGTCTTTCAGTATCTGCTGGTACCCAGTTCTACCTTCATGCGGTTTGTTTCATGTGCAAATTGGAGGAAATCTAGACCTCCCAAGTACAAACTGTTGGAGACAGATTACCGTTGCCATGGAGACCAAGTCTAAAAATGAAGCAGGCGACTGATAATTACTTTCAGAGAGTGGCAGTCATTTTATCATTACAGATAAGAATTACTTGTCATTCTTTGCTACTATATCCAGTGTACATGTATATCCACACACATGATTGGGCAATTCCTATTGGATCATTTGGCTTTGTACTTGAAGAGAATCATGGGATAGCGTGAACTGCAATGTGCATTCCAGTTTGCAGCTTAGCTCAGAGGAACTTTGATGTCTTTGTGGACCTGACAAGAAAAGTTACAGTATTAAAGCAGGATCCAAGGACAGAGAGCATATAACTCTTAATTTGAGGGAAAGGATCTTTCCAAAATGGGGTTTGTGCACACAAACATCAGTAGCCTGTTCAGGATTTCAAGGCCAAATTGAACATTTCAAATACATTCTCGTGAAGTTTGAATGTATGAAGTTCATCTCAAGTTCACATTAATTAAAGTTTCAGTAATTGTAACCAGAACTAAACAGTCAATAGGTATAGAACAAAAAACATGTTTATTGTTGAGGTGTCAGGTGCAAAATGATAGGATTGCACAAAACTTAGTAATTTTCCAGACAGTGGCCTTT